GGGAAAGAGACATGGTGGCAGAGATGGGGGCTGGAGACGTGGGACATGGGAGCAGGGAGAAGAGGGAGCTTCTTAGACATTCACAAGGTAGAAGGTCATCTCCAGCCACGTTATGCCACACCTGAGGCCTCTAAATCTATATCCTGTTCTTCCTGGCAGTCACAGTTCTTAATAGAATGTCCTCTCTCATCTGCTCCTTTGCCCAAAGACCATGAGTCACATCTCAGCACACAATGGGTGGTGACAGCCACAGAGGAGAGGGCGTCTTGTCCTCTCTGCTCGTGGCTTAAAGAGGTCTACTATTACATTTCTAATCACGGCCAATGAGAAATGAAGCATCTTAATTTTCCCAGCCATGTAGTTGTTGTAACAGGTTCTTAGCAATGACCCAAACTCTACCCTGACCATATTTGACAAACTATCTACATCTAGCAGAATGAAATGACCACCAGAATGCCAGCTAAGAAACTGGGTTCTAGTTCTAGCTCAGTTGTTAACTGGCTGCATGGACTTGAGGGAGCCACTTAGCCTCCTTGGACTCTATTTTCACTTCTGAGTAAAAATGTTCAACAAGATGATGGCTCGAGTCTTCTTCCACAACGAAGTTTATCTTGATGCTCTCCCTGCAGCTTTAAGGCTTCTGGAGGCTCAGGGGCATTCCTACAAATCATCTGCTCATGCTTACAGAGGAAAAGGTATGCCTGTGGCTAGGGACGGGGGTGTGTAGGACAATGTTTTAAATCCATCCTGCCCATCCCCTTATCCTAATTTTTCAAACCAAAAGGGCCAGAACACGTGCATGTAGAATACACTTAACTGAACCCAAAGAATTTGCTTTACTTTGTATACAACCCATGGCACTTCCTAACAAAAACATCAGTACTAGGTGCCGCGAGCCACCACCAACAGTAATACATTCTCCTGAAGTTTTGCTTGAGTCCTTCAACAAGGACAAACGCTATGATCTCAGACACTGGAGCACAGCAATGGGTTCTTAATGTAGATGCATTTCCTCATGTCATTCTGAAAGATGCTTGCTGACTCAAGCAGAGTAGGAGATGAGAAATTAATAAAGCAAGAAAGACTGCTAAGAGCTCTATGTAATTAGAAGACAAACAGAGATGCAGACACATTAACAGAAAAAAAAAAATCAACAACTAGCCAAAATAGACTCAGAGTATCCTGATGTTGCCACTAATATCCAAGGGATATATTCTTCACTAGAAAAACCATTTAATGGGGAAGAAGGGACAACGTTAGATGTAAAAATAACATGAAAGCTTATAATCCACCTTGCACACACTGACAGCTCTTCTATGAGATAGATGAAAAGCAGGCTCAGCTTCTTAAAGCTCCTCCCATCCTTCCCAAGGCCCAGAGTGCTTTAAACAGATGGGACACCTGATAAACCGTGTTTGAAAGAATTACCAACTAAAACCTAGGCAGTAAGAAAATGTGACTCGGGAAGGGCAGGGCTTTCCCCCAGAGCCAGGGAATAATAAATACTTGAAAGCATCATAATGATAAAAGCAAATATTTGTTGATAATAGCCAACATCTCTATGCTAGATGTTATCCTAAGTGCACATTTAAATTTGGTACAAACTTAGGAGGCAAGTCTTATTATTATCCTTGTTTAAGAGAAAACACTGGGGCTCGAGGGGTAAATACTCTGCGCCAAATTCACAATCCTAAGAAGAAACCTGGCTTCTAACTGAGGCTGTCTGGCTTCACAGCCCAGATTCTTTAACTATTAGACCAGAAAAAAATAGGTAAAGAATATGAACAGGCAAGTCAGCGAGCAGGAAAACCAAATGGCAAATAAATATACAAAAATATGAAAAATACGAAATATGAAAAATATGAAAATTTGTATCCCACTAAACAGTGGGATACAAATTAAAGCAGTGAAACATCATTTTTCACTCCTCTGGTGAGTATGCAGAGAAATGGGAATATGAATTGTTACAACCTTTTGGGAAAGTAACCTGGCAATATTTAAAGCACTAAAAGCACAATAAACTGTGACCCAGAAATCCCACCTTGGGGAATTCCTCATACAAAAATAAGAGCATGAGTATTTCAGCTTATAAATACATCATGATGTTTATTGTGCACTGTTTGTATAGGCTAAAAACCGAAAATTACCTAGATGCTCATGAATAGGGAGATGGCTGAATAAAGTGTTCAGTATCCAGTTGGAATATTATGCAGCTATGAAAATGCGTGAACTAGATCCTCTATGGCCCCAGGGGAACATCTATGAAAAATTTTTAAGTAATAGAACAAGTTTCAGAGTAATATATATCATGAGCATATTTTTAAAAATAACTAAAAACACTGCATATGTGTAAATGTTTCCATGAGCAATTGGTTTGGTAAAGAAACAATTATAACACGTTAATAACATCAGTGCTCTCAGGAATCTGGGGATGGATGTTAAAGGGAAAACAACTTTATACAACTTTGAATATTTTTACTTATTATAGCAACTTTGATACAACTTTATACAACTTTGAATATTTTTACAACTTACAACTTTATACAACTTTGAATATTTCTTTATACAACTTTGAATATTTCTTTATACAACTTTGAATATTTTTACTTATTATAGCAAGTACATTTATTTTCACTTAAATTTTAGTAAAGACAATGAAATAAATTCCTGTAATAAGTACTTTCACAGTCTAAGAGCCCACAAAACATAGCTGTAAAAAAATATCCCACAGGGCTTCCCTGGTGGCGCAGTGGTTGAGAGTCCACCTGCCGATGCAGGGGACGTGGGTTCGTGCCCCGGTCCGGG